TCCGACAACCCTCAGAGACAGATGAAGGGGCTCCCGAGTCCTAGTCCACGCACAGCTCTGATGTTGGGGGGCAGATGCACCCTAGCCAGATATGTGTTAGGTACTAAGCAACCCCTTCCTGCTGCAGGGCCCCATGGGCAACCACGCTCAAGCATCTCCTCCTTCGGTACTGCAAGGGGGCTGGAGGGCAGCGCCATGAAAGTTTTCAAAGAGCCCACTCAGCACACAAAAAGGACCCCCAAACCAGGCAATACGGTCAGCATGACCCCATGCCACCCGACTCAAGCACTTCTATGCTGAGCACATTCAGGGGTAATGCTGGTTAAACACTCCAAGGCCGGGCCTCCCTGGTGGCGCAGCGGTTGAGCGCTGGGCTGGGAAGCTGCCTGCAGCCTCTGCAGCGCCGGTTTGATCCCGGCCACCGGTGAGGGTCCCACAAGGCATGCAGATCTCTCCTGCCGCCTGCTGCTCCCCTCAGCAGTGTATTTCATTCAGTCTGCCTGTTCTGTTCCCCACTCTGGCTCTGGTGAATTCTCTCACCCTCCCGCGCTTCTGACTGTACCCAGTGCATGTATAAATAAATAAACTAAATCTTAAAAAAAAAAAAACCAAACACTCCAAGGCCTCCAGATAATTTACTAGCATCTCCCAGAAATACCCATTTCCTCATCAACCCTGCATATCCTTCTGTTTTGTAAGCCAACTAATCAGTCTAATGGCTACTGAAGGTGGGATGTTCTTCTAAAGAACTAACGCAGAAGATCTCATCGGAATGAGAGAACATTCTTAAATCCCGCGGAGGAAGAAGGGTCGGAAATCAAATGATGGGCTCTGGCCAGTTGTGTCACTAGGGTTGGGACATCAGAAGAGAAACCACTGGGGTCAGAAAGACTTCCAGCAGTTTCCCTGAAAGTCCTGCCAAGTCCAAGTCCTTTACTGCCACCACTAAACAAAGCCAGATGCCCCAGACCAAATACAACTTTGTGCATTTACCTCCTGACCAGAGAGTTCTTTCCACTGCCAAGGGGGCTCGATAATACGTACACATGCACGGACTCAATCTGCTCTTCTTAGGTCAAAGCAGTTTTAGGATTAAAGTGTTCAAGAATGGTTTTAAATGCAATTTGGAGAAAGGATAAAAAATTCTGATTTCTTGGGGGCCTACTTTCAGCCTTTGCTACTCTCCCCACTCTTCTGTGGCCCCTGCGGGGGGAGGCTCTCCTGAACACTCTGTTTGCACCCCTACATTCTCCTGAAGGAGGGCAGGGGATGGAGGACATGCAAGCAGAAGGACAAGCAGGGAACCTCATCTTACCTCAAAGCAATTTCCTACATACTAGGAAACAATGGGCAAACCCGAGTTTAACCCAGTAAACGATAGCTACCCACAGAAGGCCCTGGAAAGTTCAATAGGCTTCGGAAACATGCTCAAACTCCTCCACCAACATGTTTGTTTAATCCTATTCGTGAGGATTTACTGAACACTCAAACCAGTGAAGCTGTTCCCAGCACAGTAAGAACATGGGTCACAGACCACGTGCATGGAAAGTCTCTGGCCAGGTAGGATGGTCACCCAGTTGGCCTATGCACCGGGGGCACTGAGGGAGGCTCCTGTAATCTGGCCCCAGGCCTTGTTCTCATGCCAGTGAAGCATGGAGCACACACCGTGTGTGGGCACCATGAACAGAGAGAGTCCTTCATCCTCGAAGCTGCGCTTTTAGCTCCCTACCCTGTTCTTAAGCCCATTTTATTTTTTTCCTTCCCATTTGGCCTTTGCTGATTTTTAAAAATAATTTATTTTGGGGGGCTTCCCTGTTGGCAGAAGGGGTTAAGTCTCAGCACTATGAAGATATTGGTAGCCACTGCTGCAGGAGTTCGATCCCTGCCCAGGGAGGTGACCCACATGGCGCCACAGACCTCTCCTGTCTTGCCCGCTGCTCCCTTCAGCAGTATATGTCAGTCAGTCTGCCTGTTCTGCTCCCCGCTCTGGTGAACCCTCTCACCTCCACCCCGTACCTCTGGCCTGCATCCCAGCTCTTGTATGCATCAGTAAAACAAATCTTAAAAAAAATTATTTATATGTAGTTTACACCACTGTTCTTTTTTTCTTTTTCTTTTCTTTTTTTTTTTTTACAATGTTTGCTTTATTTTCTCAGTGTAGTCCCCACAGAATTCCCACCACCGGGCCTCCCCAGTGGCACAGCGGGTTGAGTGCAGCGCTGTGAAGCTGTCCGCAGCCTCTGCAGCACGGGTTCAATTTCTGGCTGGCATGGCAGGCCTCTCCTGTCTCGCCCGCTGCTCCCCTCAGCAGTGTGTTTCAGTCGATCTGCCTGTTCTGTTCCCAGCTCTGTCTCTGGTGAATCCTCTCACCATCCCGCACATCTGGCCTGTACCCCTGTTCTTGTGTAAATGAATAAATAAATCTTTAAAAAAAAAAGGAAAAAAAAGTGAGAAAACTGAAGATTAGAGATGTCAAGTAGTTTCCCCCAGGTGAGACAGCAGGAGGGGACGGGGGAGGGGGGCATTCGCACTGGGGCAGTCTGGATCACCATCTCCTCACTCCAGCTGCAGCAGCTGCCACAGCACAAGGGCCGCTAGCTCACTCCCAGCGGCCCGGCCTCCGCCTGCCAAGAGGACCGCAAGGGGACTGCAAGGCTGGCACCAGGGGGAGCGCTGCGCTGGCGGCACAGAAGAGAGGGAAGAAGCTCCTTAATTCTGCCTAGAGAAAGTGAGCCCCCGAGAGGAAAAGGGGCATGGCAGGGGGGTGTCATCGCCAGGGTAGGGACACTGGACCGCCACCTTGAGGCAGTGGGACGGATGATTATCTGCAGATTCTGCCTGCTGGCTGAGGTAGTCAAGCCCCAGGCGCCTGCTCTGCAGTCCTTACACTGTGCATACATAAGGCAGGCGCAAAAAGCACAGCAGCTTTGGTAATTTCCATTGGGGAGTAATTCAAAGAAAGGCCTCACAGGCCGGGAATGGGAGCAGGCACGGATTTCAATTTCAGAACCTGCGGCTAGAGGAAACAAGAGAGCTATTCCCGCAGGTCTTCGGCAACTCCTCCCAGGAGCTCCACTGCCAACTCCTCTCCCCCAACCGCGCCACCAGGAAACTGTGGGGCAACCCCAACATTCCAGGACTTTCTGTCTCTGAGGGCCCTCCAGCACTTAGCACAAGCTTAGAAACAATGGCTGACCCTCACCAAAGAGGGGGTGAATCTCATTAGCTATGGGGCCCAAACGCAAAGCCCTTTGGGACTAAGAAGAACCGGTATCCAAGATGGTTTATAATCAAGCCGCTACGCTTGTCTGAGGACAACACTGTTTGATGAAGCACCGAGGCTCACTAACATTCAAAAGAACAAACCATGGTACTACCTGGCAGTTAAATTGAGCACACCAAATTTTCCACACCAATCTTACAGCACACAGAAGTTTAGCTAATATTCTAAACCTTCACACAACACAATCTACCCACACTTCCAATTTCAAAGCAAGGAAAAGAGCTTTACGCTAATCTTGCTATGAGCAGTGTGCATTAAATGTTTCTAAAATAAGTTTCCAACAAGAACTTAGTAAGAATGTCCCCTTATTGAGTTCCTTCAAATAAATTAAAATCCCACTCATAAATTCAAAGCCCAACTCTGCCTTGAAAACATCTAAAGAACCTATTATTTAAACTGCCAACACAATAAAAATGCACAAGGCAACACATCGCCTTCCCAAAGTTGTATTCTCCTGGCCGCATCCCCGCCAGCCGGTTCTGAGGGTGAGGTGTGGGTTCTCCCCTGGAACGGAAGTGCTCCCTAGTCACAGTCCTGTCATCCCTGTGCTGTGGGATCTCTTAAATTCTGCCTTAAAGTACATGGTGAAGAAAGACAAAATCTGGCTAAGATTTAAGCTCCTGTGAAAGATGGACATGATGGTCCAAGCAGAAAATACCTGCTTCGCCCGCTCCGGGCATGAAAAGGATGTTTTCAGTGACGAACGACCATTTCCCTTGATTTCTTCCCTTCCCTTGGGTCACCGGATGGAAAACACTCAGGTCCTCACTATGTGGTAATTCATTGACTCGTACACTTGAGATCTGTGCGTGGTCTTTTTTTTTGGGGGGGGAGGGGGACGTAAGGAGGTGGATGCATGTTACACTGCAGTAAAAATGCTTTTGAAACAGCTCACATGAACTTAAATAAAACGTTGCCAGGAAAAACTGGACGAAATCAGTGTCCACGTCGCTTACACCGCCGACTGCAACCACTTCACGAAACGTTAGAAGACAGGAGACCCGCTCATCGAAAATTCTGCCAAACGGCCTCCAAATCTCCCCCAGCTTGGCTCATGGCAGGCAGACGGCTGGGGGGCAGCCCCCCCCTGGCTCCCCGCAGCTGCGGTCTCGCGGGCCGGGAGGCTCCGTCGCCGCGTCGCCAGGAGAGCGGGCTGCAGGCGGTCAGACCCCCCGCAGACAGCCGAGGCCTCGGCGCGCACGCGGGCGGCGGGGGAACCCGGCTCCGGGCTCGCGTCCGCCAGCCCCGGCCAGGGGGTGTCGCGCGGGTCCTGCCCCCGGGACGCCGCCGAGCGCCAGGCTGGACCACCTCGGTCACGGTCTGCAGCGGTCGCTCGCGCGCGTTTCCCAAAACGCAGAGCGGGGCCGGCGCGCGGGCTACGGCCGGATCCCCGGGGCCGCCCTCTCCCGGCGCGGGGTGCATCAAGCGTGCGCCCGGCTCCCCGCGGCAGGACACACTTGCCATCCACCTCGCCGCTCCCGAGCGCACCCACTCACTCAGGTGATTCCAGGGGACCCGGGCACCGGCAGCACGAGGGGCGCGGCCCCTCGCTCAGCAGCCCGGGCGACCCGGGGTCTGCGGAAGGGCGTTCATCCCCGCTCGGCGTCGCGCCCCCGCCGCGCGCGCGCCACAGCCGCTGCCCCACGCTGCCCGCGGCGGATCCGCCCCGCCCCCGGAGGGGCGAAGCCCCACGAGCCCGCTGGCCCCGGGACCCTACCTGAAGGCCGGTGGTTGGGGGGCGAGGTTCGCACCGCGCCGGGCTCGGCCATCTTCCCGGGAGCTGGGGGCCCCGCGCCGGCCCCTCCGTCCCGGCTCCCGCTCCGCCGCCGCCGCCGCCGCCGCCGCGCTCCATCAGGCTCAGGCGGCCGCACAGGCGCACTGCCCGGCCCGCGCGCCGCACCGGACCCGCGCGCCTCCGCACGCGCACGCGTCCTCACACGGCCTGCGCACACGGCGTGCACGTGCGATGTGCGCACAGGTTCTCACGCCGCGCACGCGCACCGCGTGCACTTGCGGGACCCCACCGGCCTGCACATGTTCTGTGCGCACTAGTTGTCACAGCGCGCGCACGTACCACGTTTTCACAGGCGCGCGGACACACCCCCCCGCCCTGTCAACACTCAAACCGTTAGAAACGCAGGGTGCAGTTCCTCGCACAGAGCGTGCACACACAGCCTCGTGCAGCGTGGACACAGCCAGCACTTCGTACATACACGTCCTCACCCGGCATGCACAAGTTCTCACAGCCAGCACTTGTCCTGCCACTCGCATGCACGCGCTAGGCGTCCACACGCATCTGGGCGCCGGAGCTCAGGAAACGGTTCCGGCCTGGGGTTTCAGACAGGCGCCCCTTGGGCCAGGCCCCCCAGTGCAGCACCGGAACAGCCACACCCCTACTCCCCCGGCCCTTGCCCCCCGCCCCCGCACACTTAGATTCCCCTTCACCAAGCGCCGGGTTTCCCTCACCCCAGACCGGCGTTCGGCCCCCGCGGGCGCGTCTCCTGTAAGCCGGCGCGGTCGACCTTCAAGGAAGGGCAGGCACACGCGGCCGGCGGACGGGGGCCTTCCCACCATGCCCGCACTCTCGGCGCAGATGACGCGCCCTAGGGAAATCCCTGCCAGGACTCTCTCTGCGACGGCAAGCGAGAAACTGCTCAACAGGTAGCCTCAGAAGTTGGGGAGCGGGAAGCATGGGGGGGCGTGCCTTTCTCCTGGGCATCCTTTTACCCCTGCCACGAGCACTTCCCAGCTTTTCAAACGCAGACTGAAGACTTCTTTGCACAGCCAGCTCAGGGCGTCCGCCGTAGACCACAGCCCGTCCGGCGTTGACCACAGTCCGGCACAAGCCGCCCAGCGGAGACCCAGCCCAGGGGATGCCTGGGGCGCACTTTTCTCCGTCGGACGACCAGCCAGCGCCCCGAGGTTTATTACTCCCGGAGAGAAATGCATGACTAACGCGCAAGGCTAGTTTCTTTGGAGGGTGATGAGAATATTCTAGGGTTTAGATTATGGTGCTGACTGACTGAAAGCATACTGAATAACCACGGACTTGTATATTTTAAGTGGGTGAACTTTATGGTATGTAAATTACGCAATTAGCAAAACAAATTTAAAAAATCAAGCTGAAGTCCTCAGGAGGCAGCATCCACATTCTTCGCAAAATGCTTGGAAAGAGCCCTTTTGTGGCACAAAAATGTTAGGAACATGTGACACTCCCAAAGGTGAGCCGCGAGTAGGGCTTAAGGGCTGAGAAAGCCAGGAGGGTTGAGACACAAATGGGCATGAAAGTGGCCAAGTGGGCGCTGGCCCCTGGGCTGTAAACAAAGGCTGTTTCTAACCCAAGAAAATTGAGCCAAGTGACTAAGGGAAAGGAAGCTGTTTCCACTCTCTTTCACAGATTTTGGATATCATTTCTAATTCACCCAACTCCTGACTTCATGGCGTGCTGACATGGAAGTGTAGAACCGCTCCTAGTTTTTTTTTTTTTTTTTCCCCAAAGGGTATGTTCGCACTTCCATTCCTCTCAAGTCACTTTCGTTAAATGTATTTGTGTAGCTCAGTGTTGTGACGGATGCATGGTTTCCATTTATCTAAAATACTTTGCCTAAGATATTTTTCCTTGCTTGTAATTGTTTGCACCATCTGTCCATTGCAGCTATATACTAATCAAAAATACATTCGCTATCCATTCTGATTTACTCTTCTGTAAGTTACCTGTTCATTCTTTGTGCATCTACTGGCCTGCCTGTCTTTTTCCTTGATTTCCAGGCATCTCTGGAAAGATAAAAATCTAGTATTCTAGGTAATTCCTTATGGGTTTAAACATTCCAAGTACCTCCCCCTAGCCAACTAACCTTTTCAAGGATTAGCACAACTTAATTTTGAAGCGGAAATCTATTTTAGAAGGCTTCTGATATGGAAATACATCTGAAACATACAAAATTTGAGTAAGTTGACAACACTCATATATCCTTTACTCAGGTTCACAACTGCTCTCACATTTAAAATGTTTACCCCATTTACTTACCATTTGTGCTCTGATCTAGAGCTCAGTATTTCTTTATCCTGTTTTTAAGTAGCATATAAAAATATATGTATACACACACATACATTACAGATGTATTCATGGCCCTTTACCTTAAAAGTCAAAGTGTATTTCCTAATGTTATTCTGACACAACCATAATCAACTTCAGTAAATACAACATGGATGCAGTAATTTTATATAATTGGCTGCCATTTCCCCACAGAAGAGGTACTTTTCTCTTGCAACAAAAAAGCAAGCAAGGTCATGCAAATAATGTAGTCCTCATCAAAACTTCCTAGTTCCTCAAGGCTATGAAATTCACCCATTTTTTTTCACCTGATGGTTTGTGCTTTCAGAGTTCATTAATAGAGACTTCACTAGCTTCAAAGTCTTCAGTTTCCTCCACTATAGACTTGCCTTTACTCTAAAGCATTTTATGTTCTCTATATGGCGTCATAGGTCCAAATTTACTTTTCTCTCTAAAATGTTTTCCCAGCACCACCCAATCCTTTCCCCAGTGACTTTTATCAGCTTTCCATGCACACAGGCTTGATTCTAAGCCCTCTAGTCTTTTTGTTGCTGCATCTATTATTTATTATGGTTTAGTGTGACTTAGTATCTGTTCCTCATTTAGAAAATCATAATTACAATATGAACTTACATTAACAGTAACTTTTCTATTCACCATATCATACTGGATTATTAGTATTATATTGAAATCAGGGGTTAATTGGGAGGAAATCAGCATTTCTATAACATGTCATACTACCTATGAGCACAATGTCTTAACTACTCAAGCCATTAAAAACAAAACAAAAAAAAGGCATCAGCTTACTAGGTTTTCCCCATTAGGTTAACATAAAAATCTAGTTGATTATCTTATTAAAATTTATTGCTACCTAACTGACTGCCAGTTTACTGCATAGGTATGCACAAAGTATGGCCCATAGGTCAAATGCAGCCTGCCACCTATTTCTGTTACTAGTTTTCCTAGACTGTAGCCACACTTGATTGCATGTCCTTTACATGTTGTGCTACAATGGGCAGGTCTGAGAAACTTTAACAGAGCTCACCTGGTCTACAAAGCCTGTATTTACTATCCGGGGTTTTACAGAAAGCTTACCAACCCCTAACTGTACACCTAAAATCGAGACTCCCAAAGAACTTTTGCATCTGCCGTTAATATTAGGTGGTGGATGTTAAGTTTTCCAAAACTCTTTTAACTTTTACTTGAAAACACAAATTATTTATTGGCAACACAGTTTTCCTTAGAATGACATGGCTCATTTTTGGTTTATAACTATCAATATTGACATTAGAGATTAAAAACATTTAATATTAATTCAACAATAAACAAAATGCTTAACATTTTTAATGAAAAGGAACAAAAACATAACTTACTGAAATGAGTGGCTTTGTTTCATATTTTTGCAAATTTCTTTATACTGTCTGGTTTAACAGAAGAGTCTCCTATCTGCTTTTGTATTCATTGTGTTGCAATATGCTGTTTTGGGCTGAACATATGAAGGAAATCTGGCCTCAGAGGTATGTAGTTGGCAAAGAGAGGAATGCATTCATAGCTTTTCCGGATAACTGTGCATGTTCTTTGCTACTACACTCTAATCTTGACAAATGGTAATTTGTCAAAGGTTAGTTGCAATGTGGAATTTAACACTGAATCAATGAGCTTTTTTTCATCCTGTTACATGAAAATCCACCATCCATTGAAAAACATTGGATCACTGAGGCTATGAAGATCTTGTAAATGTCAACACATTTCATCCTACAATATCAAATAGTCACATTCATTAATACCATCACCGAACTCTTCAGCTTTCCTGTGAAACTGTCAAGGTAATAGTGGCAGAGATTACTTTTTTCCATATTTCTCATTTTCACTTGAAAGTTCGAATTTTGTCACTGGCAACAAATACCGTCAGTTGCTTTCTTTGAAGGGAGAGGCTCATTTCATTCCTTTTGAGAAAATGTTGACTAAAAATCCAAATTTGAATAACAAGTTTGCCAGTTGTTCTTTCAACTAAAAATGGTGTTCCCTGAAAGCAATGCTTATTGCAGTCTGCAACTCAATCAACTGAGTGCTTTTCCTCGGATGAATTTCTGTACTCTGCAGTGTGCAGCAGGACTGAATGTGGCACTTCTTGCTTTGTCACATGAAATATTAAAAAGCTGTGTAATGAAAGGTGTAATTTAATGAAGTTAATGTTTACCGCTTCTAGGGAAGATTAAGTAACTAGCCTTTTTAAAATAATGAGTTTCTGTGTTTGCTTTTGGTAGATAACCTTTATCAAGTTAAGGAAATTCTTATTATGCTAAGATTTCTAAGAGGTATTTAAAATTGTAAGTATGTGCAACCTTATAAAATTTGCAAAATTCAGCTAATTCTACACTGGACAGCCCAGTGATCAAATCGGCAATGGGACTTTACTCAGATTTTGTTCCCATTTTTGGATCTGCCGATATCAGATTGTGAACTGAAGAAAACCACCTAGATTGGAACAGAAAAAAAAGACTGGTCTCTGAGCAAGTTGACCAGAAGGGTAAAAATCTACTGCACCTCTATCTCTGCACAGCAGTGAATGTGCTATTGGCAATCTAAAGTCAGTCTGGACAACCAATTTACCATTAGAAAATAATGCCTTTCAAACACAGGTTTTAACAAATTCACTCACTCAGAAGAGTCTTGTATCTGGGATCTGGTCAAATGCATTCATTCAGATCAAACCACCAAAACAAAAAACAAAACAAAGTATACATTCTCACATATCACAAGCTTTTAAAAAAAAGTCAAATTTTCAGAATAGTATCACTATGAATAAAAATTTATGTAGTTAAAAATACTATAAACAGTTTGAAAAGAATCAACTGTATACACTGAAAGTTATTTCATATTTTATTTTCTAACTGTAATAGTTTGCATCTGATTTCTTTACATAATTCAAAATGATGGGAAAGGAAACCTCCATATCAGTCAGTACTTACTACTGTCATGAATTTATAGTAAAAGGCTATAAAAGGATTCATTAAGACTTAAGAATGAAATATGAACGGAGCTATCAATATTAATAACTATAAACTTTCTCTAATGAAACAGAGCAGTTAGTATTTTGCAAAACATCTTCAAGCAGTTGAAAGACTTCCATCTGTTAGTCTTAAGCTGAATTAAATGAGGGTCCTAGCAATTATTTAAAATATTGTGTCGACATGAATATAGAAATATGTATTCCACATCTTTCTTTTATTATAGAAACCAATGACGGCAAGTAAAAGAAATGGCAAAGAATATCACACACATGAACATTATGACAGTCCTGGAGATCAATGAAAAGCAGCAGACACTGCTCTGAGTGCATTATACGTATGAACACGAACATTATGAACTCCCTCAAAAATTCGACAGGTACTGTTCTTATCACCCCCAACTTATAGGTGAAGAGCCTAGAGCTCAGACAAGTTGGAGAAGGTGCCCATGACCTGCAAGTAAATGGCAGAGTGGGGGGTGGGGCACAGACCACCTGACCCCATCAGGTGCCTCTCAAGTACCTGGCAGCTAGCTGGGGTGAGAGGGCACAGTCCAATACACAATCCAAATCCCTCAGTTCGTTCCGTACCTGAGAGTCTAGAGAAAACAGAGTGGTGTGTAAAAAAGTTCATGGGACCCCAAATAGTATAAATGAAACAGTTCCTTACTATGCAGGATAAAGAGCTAACTAACATCCCATAGCAATACAATGATTTTTTTTTTTTAAAGTCTTTATGACAGTCAGGTAACATAAAGAACCTCACTTTCATTCTGATACTTTAACTGTCAAGTCACAGTTAATACTGGCTGTTGTTTAATCTGTACATGATACAAATAATGCAAAAATCCAGCTAGGTATTTTAATTGAAACATGCTTTTTTAAAGACTATTTAATTACTCAGTTGCTCTTAAGTCAATATTGACAGCAGTTTATACCTATTAAAGATATTATTCAATATCCTATAATTTAATATTTACACAAGATAGATGAGATTAAGTTAAACTACAAGTCACAAGTTTTATAAGCAACTATACTTGTCACAATTCCATAGATGTAGTGAGTAAACCGATGGCCACGCCTTAATACAAGAATTTTCATCATGCAGAGTTTACAGGCTCCTTTAGGGGCAGTCGCTTTAGAGGCTGGATGTTCGAGATTCAACAGTCAGACAATTAAATCTTAAGCAAGTCTTTTTACATAAAAGCTTGGTTTGGATTGTTAGCCACTTAGTAACACAACATATTTATACTCTCAACAGAAGTAGAATAAACACTGCATGAAAAGTACAACCTTATCAAATCCATTAGCAATAACTTATACCCTATTAGTAGTAAGAACCATTATTCTTAGATTTCAAACATTTTATTTTCTTTCAGAACACACCTTATAGCACTGTACTATAGAAATCAAGGAGTACAACCAAAAAGTCCCCCCCAAACAAAAAAACTTTTCTCAAGTTCCTCATTTGAAATATAATCAAATCAATTAAAACTATTCACTCTCTATATTAAAACAAGTTAGTAAAATAACTCCTCCAAGTAGTGTTGCATATGAGCTACAACTGTACCCCAACCATTTGAATCATTATGATTTGAGATTTTCCAGAATACAACAGCACTAGATTGGGCTGTTACTACATAGGCAATAGGAAAAATATCACTAGCAAACCCATTTGGGGCCATAGTTGCAATTTTCAAAGAATCTTGTAGCTAAACTATATTTGTTAGAGGAGGTAAGTAAAAAAAACTCATGCTTGAGTTTCACTGTCCCCACCATGAACTCTTATCACAGATACAGAGTTAAAACATTGTTGGCAAAACAACATGGTCTCAAATACTTTCCACCTAAATCAGTGTTAAGGAACGCCATAGAATAAGTAACATGAAAACCCTGATTATGTACTCTTAATTTCTATTCTTTGATTTTAAAATGTTCTATGGTACCTCAAATTTTGATTCCAGAGTTTGCACAACGAGGAAGGATTATACTAATTAAGCATGAGATTAGAAACAATTTGCTTGTTTTTTGAAACAAGGTGCACTGCCCTTTGTATTACTTTTAGTCACTAGAAAGTTCTCTGGAGAACAGTGGAGTAAAAGCTTCACATGCTACATAATGGATCTCTTAAAGTTGCATGCAAGTTCAAGTGGCCAGTGAGGTCTAACTAGCCCAGCCCTTAATATCATTTTGCTAGTTGATAACAAAAAAGGGTAAATCTCTAAATTCCCAGGAAAATATGAATAAAATATTTGTACACACAATAAAGTACATCCTGGCACACAAAGTAAGAGTGCAATACACTCTGCAGCATGACAATGTCTTTATTGTATTTCTTAGCTGTAGCTCATCCATCTCAAATTAGAGAGCATCTTTTCATTAAATTATTCCCTCCTCTTCCCCAATTCAGGGATGGCTTGAAAAAAGCTTAATTTGTACAGGTTGTCATGAATTTCAATTTTCATTTATACATAATTTAAATGTTTACAAAGCACTCAAAATTTAGCTTACATGTGTATGACTTCTGAAAATGACTTCTTAACATAACCTTTTTGTTCTGTAAAAATACACACATGCATATGATCAAAACAATCTTTCCTTGTTAGGGGAATTTCCTATGCACTGTAAAAGTCCCCCCCAAAAAAAAGAAAAAAGAAAAAAAGATGCCAACTATATTATTTCCAATGTTAAATGAGTGCCACCTAGTGTGCAATTTCTGCAACTACAAACCTTACAAATTCAAGATTGCTCTTAAAACTCAGGCTCTAAAAACTGCATTTTGGAAATGCTTTCTGTTTCATGTTTACAGTGGCAAAATAAGATCATGAAAAAAATGTACATGTTATCAAAATTAGTATAAAAAAATAGCCACATGCTTCTTAAATATGAAACTCAGACCTAATCATTTTTTACTTCAATTGCAGATTTCTGCTTCCCTTAAATTGTATCATAATCTCAAGGGAAAATCTAGATAAATGTGATACAGGCGTTACTGTATAGTCAACAGATTATTGCAAACTAAGTCTTAATCATAATCCATGAGTGTAGGACAAATGGTTTATTCAAAATATCCATTTACTTACTAGAAGTGGTCAAACAGGAAAGGAAGTAATGCATTTTTTTCCTCTTTTTTTTTTTTTTTTTAAATAGATGTGGTTTTCTACCCATAAGCTCCATTACATCAAAGGAACAAAATGAGTTTAACATTTAAAAGAATTTTCAGCATTACCAATTTCTAAAGAAACACAAATACCTTAGAAATAAATCAGTCTGTTTTAACAAATTGCACTCATACTAATGAAATTTTAATCTTCTTTAACGGGTCACAGGCAAAATCCAAATTGTTGAACAATCCTCAGAAAAATTGGAATGTAAGTTGTTGAGTTCAATTTAGATCTGGAAGAAAGAAGAACATCAGATCAAACAAAAGAAGAATTCTTATATTCCATCAGTTTACCACTTATGGGGGGTGGGGGAAACCTCTCATCCCATCAAGCTATCCAGTCTGAAGAGGAAATTCCGTATACCAGGTTTTTCTCAATTCTGTTCTAGTGCCCACAAATCTTTAAAATGTTCTTCTGAATGTTCTATGTCATGCAGAATATCCCTGATAAAGTTTAATCCCTTCGACCTTTTTGTTCTTGTGATGAGCAATTTTTTATTTTAAGGATAGGGGCATGACCTCTTTAAGAAAGGACAACTGACCAAATTCTCTTCCAAGTCAACCTGTTCAGAGGAGTTCAATGCCAGAAGATAGATATAGTATCTGGAGAAGCATCTCAGAAAGAAGTAGGTTTCTCAGCTCATACAGCAACCTTTGCAAAATGTTCCAGCTAACTCCTTTAGTAACTACTGTCTTTGCCATCTCTTGCCAGCATGGCACAGATTCAGGGTATTTTTTTTTTTCCTTCTTAGAAAATCCTAACCCTGTCTAAATCCTCAACCTATCTCCTATCTCTGGGGATATGGCTTCATACTCATGTTCTCTGGTAAGAGTCTTAATTTCCTAGAGAGAGAAGTCTTCTACCCCAGTTCAGCTCTCAAAATGTTTGGATCACCCACTCATGTACAAGACAAGAGCTCCAAGTCAGGTTCTTGAACAGAAAATAATTGTAATTCTACAGTTCAATTATCATGAAAGTTTAGTCACAAAAATCCTCTGGTTCAGGGTCTCCAAAGGGTAGTACATTAAAAATTAACAGAATGGGGCCTCCCTGATGGCATAGGGATTAAAGTCTCATTGCTATCAAGCTGAGACTGCTGCATGAGTTCAATCCCCAGCCAGGGAGCTAACCCACATGGCTCAGCAGACCTCTCCTGTCTCGCTCGCTGCTCCCCTCAGCAGTGTATTTCAGTAGATCTGTCTGTTGTGCTCCCCACTCTGCCTCTGATAAAATCCTCTCACCCCCTGCACCTCTGGCCTACACGCCAGTTCCTGCATACATAAATAAATAGAAATCCTAAAAAAAAAAAATTACTAGAATGATGTATTTATTTTCTATCCTTTTACATTTCCTACTTTTTGGTATGCTTTTAAGTGTACAGAGTATTGGGCCTCCCTGGTGGCGCAAGGGTTAAGCACCGCACTATGAAGCAATCGATAGCCTCTGCAGCACGAGTTCGATCCCTGGTCGACCAGGGAGCTACCCACATGGCGAGGCAGACCTCTCCTGTCTTGCCCTCTACTCCCCTCAGCAGTGTATTTCAGTCTGCCACTTCTGTCCCCTACTCTGTCTCTGGTGAATCCTCTCACCCGCCCCCCACCCCTGCATCTCTGACCAGTACCCCAGCTCTTATATGCATTAACAAATAAATCTTTAAAATAAAAAATAAAGTGTACAGAGTATTAATAGAGTAGTACTATCAGTTTAAAATTCATAAATGCATATACCTATCAGGATATGTGTCCAATTTTTCTTTTATTCATAATGCATTCTAAATTTGGAAATGCATTACAATAAAGATGAATTGATGTGTGAATAAAAAAATAGCTATGTCATCAATCAAGTGTAGAAATATCTTAAGCGTACAATCTCAGCAGTGATATCATTTGTGATGCCTAACTTAAGACTTCTCCATGACTAGCCTATGTATTTCTGAAAATCTCTGGGTAATTCTGTTGCATAATGTTGGCTAGGAACAACTGCTCTAGGCACTCTAAAATTTCACCTTTAAATCAAATCAAACATTAGCACTATTATTTTTACATCTGTATATATAGGTGGTTTCTGAACTACCATTTTTATTTAAAGGCTCTTGAAAAGAAGAGCCCAGGGCCTCCCCGGTGGCACAGCAGTTGAGCGCTGGGCTGTGAAGCTGCCTGCAGCCTCAGTAACGCCGGTTCAATCCCTGGCCGCCAGCGAGGGTCCCATATGGCTTGAAGACTGCTCCTGCCCGCTGCTCCCCTCAGCAGTGTACTTCGTCAGTCTGCCTATTCTGCTCCCCGCTCTGGTGAATTCTCTCACCCTCCCACGCTTCTGACTGTACCTAGTGCTTGTATAAATAAATCTTTAAAAAAAAAAAAAGAGCCCAAAGCAAATTTAGTAACTTAGACCACCACCGATTAAGTAAATTTACACTGCCAAAAATTAAATTTGAATTTCATTTAAATATTAGAACAGCAGAAGGGCAGTGAGGCATTTATTCTTGTGAGCATTACTGTTTTTTGTTAGGGGAAAAAAAAGACATTTTCCTTGAAATAAACAGTGCAGCTCCAACCAAGAGTTTGCCAATAGTGAATATCCAACAAAATATTGTAACTGGTAAAAAGCCTTGATTTTAACAGTTTTCAGTGTGTACTATAATTTCAATCAAGTTGGTTCAAACAAGTCTTATCAACATACTAGTATTTCAATTAAGGAATATTTCTTTAATAAGATCTATTTCTCACAATTGTCAGCTAAATTTATTAACAGCTGTCTATTTAGACACTCTATGACCTGAATGCCTAGCATTCATACTGCCAAAGAAAACAGTGATCTTTTAGGAAGAAACGTTGAAAAAATATAAGAATTCTCAAAGTATAAGCAGATTTACCAGTTGTCTTCTAAATGAGTATTTTGACTCAGACAAATATTAAAACCCTGTTAAGAGTAAAGAGTCAGTTTCTATGTGGATAATTCACAAACAAAAGTTGAAAAATGCAAGGTGTATCTACTTACATCATCAATGTCTTCATCATCATCTCCAATGTCATCAAACTGGATTTCATCATCATCTCCAGGACCAAATGTATCAGTTTCATTGATTTTCGCTAAGGAACAAAAACAAATATAATCATATAACCAAGGCGATATTAAAATGAGTAACTGCTCATTGAAAGTAGTGGCCTGATAGAAAATGCTGAACTATAAAAGGAGACTCGGCCATTTTGCCCTCCTTCAGTCTCTGCGTCTTTTGCAGCGCTCCTGACTGCGCTATGCTGGGACAGAGCAGCCGGAGATTCACGACCTCTGTGGTCCGTAGGAGCCACTATGAGGAGGGCCCAGGGAAGAATTTGCCATTTTTCTGTGGAAAACAAGTGGCGGTTACTACTTATGATGACTGTGTACTCCGGTTCTGGATTTGCTGCACCTTTCTTTTTAGTAAGACACCAACTGCTTAAGAAGTAAGGACATTTTAGTTCATCCATGAAACAGATACGAAGAGGATCATTTTAAGAAGTGCAACTTCTTTGAAAAGTGAAACTCTTGAACTCAGCATGCTAAATGTTTGTAAATAAACTTATGGCATGACTCCTTAAAAAATAAATAAATAAAAGGAGATGCTTAGAGACCAAACTTATAGTTTAATCTAATTTTCATTATCAGAAAGGATCTTCCTAACTACCCCACCACACAGAACAGTACCCAATACAGCTAAATTTCCTATAAAGTCACTGCTAAGCCAAGATGTAAAGTATTTGTGTTAAAATTCTCTTTTGTTCATAATGGTATTTTTAGTAAGATAGGCTCTAATTACACTAATTCTGAAGCTATTACAGCTTTCAGCTATTCATCAAAAAAAAAAAAAAATCAAGCCAATCAATCATAAGATAGACTCTCATCAGAAGAATTGATCAAACTGGGCCTCCCTAGCAGCACAAGGGGTTAAGCACAGCACTGTGAAGCTATCCACAGCCTCTGCACAAGTTTGATCCCTGTCCGGCCAGGGAGCTATCCACATGGAGTAGCAGACCTCTCCTGTCTAGCCTCCTATCCCCTCAGCAGTGTATTTCAGTCAGTCTGTCTGCTCTGTCCCCGACTCTGTCTCTGGTGAATCCTCTCACCACCCCCCACCCCGCACCTCTGGCTTGTACCCCAGTTCTTGTATGCATAAATAAATATTAAAAAGGAAAAAAAAAATTGCTCAAATCATGCTTATCTCAAGTAATGAAAATAAACCAGGAAGGTTTATTAAACCCAGAATATCAGCATTTCCTAGATTGGAAATGACAAGAAAATAATGCCAGCAGGATTTTAAAGCAAATTGAGTATTTTCAAAACCTTATGCAACAGAACCCCCCCACACCAAAAAAACCCCCAAACCACCAAGTAAAAGAGTAGGCTTATAAAATAGCATGTAAAAATAAATTTCCACTTAGAGGAACCTTTTTTTTTTTTTTTTAGTTTTGTGCACTCAGATTGCATAACTTTTGTATTTGTGGAAGAGGGAAGACAAAGAACGGTTGAAAAAAAATCTTATGGGCTATGATAATAGAATAAGAGGAACTGAAAGACTGACTTTTTTTTTTTATAGAAGTCAACAATAGTACCTAAATTACTATCCTTGCCTCATAGTTAAAATTAGATGAACACGGTCACTTGAGAAAGTAATTTTAAATAACACAATTATTCCTTTGGTATTATATTTAAGTCTGGGCTTATAAGTCTAATTCCTCACCAAATGTTTATTTACCGGGAACAGAATTTCCAGTTCTTTCTTACGGTATCTATTTAATACAGGCAGACATACCAACAGTTCCCCCTTATCCACAGGAGATAGGTTCCAAGACCCCCAAGTGGATGTCTGAAACCATGGACAGTAGGAAGCTCTACATACTTTGTTTTCCCCTATACATTATAGTTCAATTTTTAATTTAGGCACAGTAAGAGATTAACAACTAATAAATGATTTAAGAGGTACTACAATAAACCTTATGTGAATGTGGTCTCTCTCAAAATTATCTAATTGCATGTAATATTTTTGGATCTTGTTTATTTCTAAAAATAGTATGAAGCCAAACTGTGGACAAGGGGGAGCTTACTGTACTTACATATCACGTAAGCTTACAGTAAATACACAAAATTCTACATTAATTTCTTTATCTAAATACGAGTGGGGGGGGCCCTCCCTGGTGGCACAAGGTTAAAGACAGTACTATCAAGCTATCACCAGCCATTGCAGCGCGAGTTAGATCCTCAGCCGGCCAGGGAGCTACCCACATGGCACAGCAGACCTCTCCTGTCTCGCCCGCTGCTCCCCTCAGCAGTGTATTTCAGTAGATCTGCCTGTTCTGCTCCCCACTCTCTCTCTGGTGAATACTCCCATAAACTCCCCCCCAACCCCCGCACCTCTGGCATACACTACAGTTTCTGTATACACAAATAAATAAATCTTAAATAAATAAGAGTGGGTAATGACATCACAGAAAAGTTATAACTTAAGATATTACCATGCTCTGGAAGCTCGCCGTATGCCTTCAGACTTCTAGCTTCATCTGCATTGTATTTTAAAATTACATCAGCTTTATTATCCTTAAAAAAGAGACAAATACTTTTAGAACTTATTGCCAGATTGTTATTTCACCAGTTACTTTCAAAGTGAACAAAAAACTAAACTCTGCTATTCTGTTATAATTGCATCTATTTTTCACATTTGAAAGTTGTCTCCTACCCTCTGAAAAACATCCTTAGGTTTAACCCAGTATGAAGAAATTTATATGCATAAATGACTAACAAGCTCAGGCAGAATATTTATAGATCTCAATTGTAAGAACTGTGCAGACCCAATCTTTTAGATGATTTACTATTACCCTTTGGTTACAAGTCCTTTGAGATACAAAAACTACCTGGACCATAATTTACAGGATATTAAACACTCAATTATAAAACCGAGACTAGTATAATGACTTAAGGAAATTAATACACCTTTCCAAATGTAAGTGATTCTTGGGGTTATGAACTGATCAGAATTCCCTGTGGGATTGTATACCTTGTGAAGACAGACTAGAAGCTGAGTGAGGTACATGAATTTGTATTTCAAAGGTGTTTTTAATACAAATGTTCCAATGAAAACTACTGGCAAAAAATTGTTCACACTTCCCCATTTGAAAAGAATCTGCCTCAGTTAAGGAAGAAATAAAGGTTGAAGATGATTATCTCAACTTCAGAAAGTTCTTTGGACCAGAAAGCAGCCAGCACTTCTTAAACTGTTGCGGGATCATGTTAAAATGCATATTCTGATTTAGGAATCCTGGGTTGAGGCCCAGAAACCTGGTTTTCTCACAAGTTCCCCCAAAAGTTAGTGATGCCATTGGTCCCTGGACCACCCTTTTAGTGACAGGGGGACAGAAAAAGGGTCATAGGAGATTATGAATCAAAATGTCACATATTGTGGAACCCTGGTTTTCTTATCTGTCAACCAGGACAGATTACTCTTCCTACTTCTGGGGTTAATTTTATGATCAAAAGAAGAAAATGGACATTAAAATAGTACAATATAACTTTAATACAAGCTTTTCAACCTCAGCACAATTAATGTTTCAGAGCAGATAATGTGCCTTGTTTTGGAAGTGTTCTGTGCATTTGCAGGATGTTAAGCGTCACCCCTGGTCTCTATCCACTTATATGCCCCTCGCCCCAGTTGTGACAACCAGAGATTTTTCCAGACACTGCCAAATGTCCCAGAAAGGGTGGGAGAAGTTAACCATGGTCAAGAGTCATTGGTTTAAATTAGATTTTGATTCTTGATTCTGGAACATACACACACACACACACACACACATGTTTAAAAAAAATCAAAATAGGATCAAGGTTATAAATTAAAATAGTATCATTCACAAAGTGATCAAACACTAAGTAATGCATTCCAGTAGGTGGAAACCAAATGGATTTCATAGACCTATAATGCAGAATCTCCACGAAGGGCGATTACCATTTACTTCTCAATGTGTTTATCTAAATTTACAGCACATACTTTGCATTGTATACTTCATATTCTGTATTGCAATTACGTGCGTAATTTTACATTAAAATTATTTATTCTTTCCACCTCCAGGCTGTAAAGCATTTTGTGGGATTGGGAGCCTGATTCATTCAGCTACCTGTAATCCCTCTTGAGTAATGGCTCCCAGATTTTGACTTCAAGATATATAAAAAACAAAACTGGAGGGGGGGGGGTGTTCAACATATGATTACATTTTTATTTTGCCAACTAAGAACACAAAACAGCCATATAATAGTCATTCCAAAAAGGGGAGAATCTTAAATATAGAAAAGGACCATTTAGCTTCATGCAAAATTCACAAAGACTGAATTTCTTCTAGTGAAAATGTGGACTCCACAGACTGGCATTTGGGAACCATAATCCTTGGGATACCTAGCACAATGTCTAAGACATAACTGGCCTTAAGAAATATCTGTGACACAAAGATGAGCAGCATACTAGACTGGAATGGCTCAAATACAGTCACTGATTATGTTTCAAATATTAATGGCTCACCAAATTTAAGCAGGTCAACAATAAAAATTTATTTTTTTTTTACCTGGTAGTCTCGGAGACCAACCAATATAATGTCTGAAGTATTTATCCAAACCTATAAAAGAAAAATCATTGTGTGTTATAATCAAAAGCAACATTGGGCCAGTTTCTCCCTAAAATACACAAAGTATTTATGCAACTGTGGGAGAAGTACCATATTTAGAACTAGAGGGAAAACCTATAGTAAATAGCTGAGCATATAATTTTCTGTAATACGGGCAGCTAAAAAAGAATCTTATTTAACTATTCGACAGTTTCATAATGCCAGTGGAATGGTTTAGAATTTAAGTGATTTTTAATTGTGAAACAATTAAAGTACTTAGTTATCTACCCATCCATATGAAAACAGAAAATTACTTCTGTGATTTTAGCTCCCTCCCTCTCTCCCTCCCTTCTACCCACATACACTCAGAGAGTAAAACCCCTTTAAGCTTGCTAACAGAAGGATTAACAAACCAAATTAAAAACAAAACCACACATACACACCCACTCATAAATCAGAATTACAAGTTATAACCAACTTGACCAATAAATCTGCCTGAACACCTACTGTATAGAAATTAAGTCATTACTTCCCCAGGCAGTCCATTCATGACACAATTCAGGAAATTTAATATTAATACAACACTTATTTAAATAATTCATATTCAAATCTTTTTAGTAACCCTTTTATAGCTACTTCCCCCACCCTCAAACCAGAATCCAAACAAGGGCAACCCAAGGCATTTAACCACTAGGCCTCTGCAACCTCCTTTAACATTTTACTAAGAATCAGGTCATTTGTTTTGCAGACTGTTTCTCAATATTTTTTTTTGAAGATTTATTTATTTATTTATACAAGCACTGGGCACAGTCAGAAGCTCGGGAGGGTGAGAGGATTCACCAGAGCCAGAGTGGGGAACAGAACAGGCAGACTGATGAAACACACTGCTGAGGGGAGCAGCAGGCGTGGCAGGAGAGGTCTGTGTGCCATGTGGGACCCTCGCTGTCGGCCGGGGATTGAACCGGCGCTGCAGAGGCTGCAGTCAGCTTCGCAGTCCAGTGCTCAACCGCCTGTGCCACCAGGGAGGCCCCTGTTTCTTAATTTTGATTTTATGATTGTTTCCTCATGAATGGATTCAGGCTAAGTATTTTTGGCAAGAATACAACATAGGTAAGACGAATGTATTTTTAAATAGAATCTGTATAAAAATTACAATCAAGGACCTTTTTAACTTACTATAGGCAAATCACTGTTCTACTGCTTTTAGAAACTATTATCAGTGTAAATTCACTTCCCCCCTTAACCACTGTTATATTAAAGTAAAACAAATCTTCACACCTACCTTTTTTCTCAATTTCCCCCTGATATGACATAACCTCTTCACACCATCAAAGCACATAGCTTCTAATCGTCCATTTCCCAACATTTTGATGACTTGAGCATACTCTGGGAGAGAAAGAAAAGGATAGAGGATATTGTCCAAGTTTTGATAAAAGCAACTTACTTAAAATCCACAAGTGCCCAGATATATTGGTTGAGAAAATATGCAGTGAAACTCCTATGAGGGAGGGATAAATACAAAGCTAGTTAACAGCAGAGCCAGAACCAAGACTCTGTAAAACCACTTCAAGGACAAGGTCTCAGCTATCAGAAACACTTAATTATCTTTTTATTCTGAGTGAGTAGAATGACCACTGTCTTCATGACTATACGCTCTACTTTTGGACATCAACGTGGCTTGCATCAAGATGTACACTACACCTCAATCTTCCACATTTGGATTCTTTCCCAATTTTGGGTCTCCTTCCCCTGAGAATCTTTGGAGGCTTACCTCAAAACAGTTTTTGGTACATCTGGCAAATAAAAGTAGCTTAAATGTTAAAAATGTCTTTGTCAAAATTTAATCACAATTTAAAAAAAAAAAAAAAAAAAAGCACCCAGGAAACCACCTGGTTTTCACTGTCACTTGAAAAACTATGAGGCGATTGGGCCTTCCTGGTGTCTAGGGGTTAAGTCTTAGCACTATCATGGCTAAGGCCTGAGTTTGATCCCTGGCCAGGGAGCTAACTCACATGGCGCAGCAGACCTCTCCTGTCTCGCCCACTTCTCCTCTCAGCAGTGTATTTCAGTGGATCTGCCTGTTCTGCTCCCCACTATCTCTGGTGAATCCTCTCATCCCTCGTACCTCTGGCCTACACACCAGTTCTTGTATGCATAAAAAAAAAAAAAAATCTTTAAAATAAATAAGAGGGAGCATCACTTCTGAACCTTTTGATTCCTCAAATTGTATGTATAAATACACTACTACTTTGAAAGGTTGAACTGTGGGCTGACATGAAGAAGTGCTACTCAGACTGCAGTTAACAGTGCCTCAACAGGGTTGGTCAATCCAGGCAGGGGCAGTCTCTCAAAATGGGGGGTGGGGGGAAGCAGTGGTGGTCAAAATAATGCCAACTGCTAATGAAGGCAAGACTGTCTAAAGCTAAGAAGAAACAAAAGGTCTTTCAATAAGAAAACATTTTTCATTTTCAGTGGCTTATATGTAAAGCATGAAGAAATCCATTAAAATTCTATAAAGACAAAAAAATTCTTTGTTAAAAAGTGCTGGAATTAGTGGCACAACTAGGGTAATTCGAACATGGACTATACACTGGAGATATTAACATAAATTACCTCCATGTAAAAGTCACATATTCCCCAGTGTGGTAATTCTATGCAGCTATTATATAAAAGGGGATGCTTTTTAGGAGCCACATGATGAAGTAGGAAGGGGAAGGACAGCTCAACTAACTTTCCAATGACACGGGGCACACATACACACAGAGATGAAGGTTGCAAATTTTCTGAAGGTTTAAAATTATATAAATAAGGAAAACAGACTCTTATTTGATCTAAAAAGGTTAAGTCAATTGTTGTTTTGTTGTATTTATGATATTATATACTAATGGCACTGGAAAAATGAGCCTATAAAGGCCTTGGATTCATCCCTCAAATATCCATGATCTACTGAACATACTATGGAGAAATGTTTATTTACTATTAAAAAAAAGATCTATGTGGCTTTGCTGACTGTTGCTGGATGAATTTTGGGGATCCAAAAGTAATCCAGATGTTATTTGGATGTTAACAGTCAAAAAAGGACTGGAGGCAGAGGGAAGGGATTAAGCAGCATCAAAGCTGAAGGAAGTGATTGCCATTAAACTGATTATTTTCTCTCCTTTCTCCTGCCAGAGGTTCAAGCTGAAACAGTCATCTCAGGGGCCCTGTACCTTGCAGCACCAGTCCAGGTTGCAGGACTGAGGTTCTAAAAGAGAACAGTCCAAACCAAGGGATGAATTGCTTGAGTTAAAAAGAACCACTTGGACTCCTGATTGGAACCATAATGTGCAAAAACCACCCATTGGGGTTAGATTATTTCACTATATTCAAAGCATGGAGTATGCACATGCATATTCATACTCTGTCTCATTTTCTCAGCTGCATTCCTGGAACAGACAAAATTATGCCAGCCATACATGGTTTTTCCCATGAAAAGAAATTATGGTGGTAGATTAATACTCCCGATCAAAGGACCTAATGTCAATGTTTTTATAGAAATATCGATAAACATCACAGTTAAACAAACAAAAACTCAGTGTTTAGTGACCTTTTTAGTGAATCACTGAGGTCAAAATATCAAGTAGACACTTTTGTGGTACTTCACACAAAAGGCATTACATACACTACCAACTTCATCTTCAGTCCTTGGGCCTATTTTGACTGTAACAAATTTCAGTGAGTCAGAAAGTGGGCATTCCCTTCCTCAAGGTCTAGTGCTGAGGGTCTTCCTGGGGAAAATATGAAAGGCATCTGTACCGTATAGAATTCTCACAGCTAATTAAGCCAGGAATATTTATGCTTTTTTTCTCACTAAAAAATTTTTCTGTAATATTTACACTTAATTAGCAGAGATCAAAGAAAAAAATACCTACATAGAGCAGCAGCTTTCACCATGACCTGTGGCAACCGGCAGGAGCTTGCCCACCAGAAGAATATGAAAAAGCAGAGGGACTTTGTTAAGGGAAAGTGGTGAGGTGACAGGTTTTTTGCTGCTGCCAGTAAGCCGAGGGCCTCTGAAATCATGCAGCAGTGGCAGAAGAAAAGAGAGAGGGAATCCAAGTGGCTTCATGTCCAACTCTCTTGTCCTTGGCCTGTGTGCCTGCAGTCACAGGCCCTTTGCCCTGAGCTCGCAGCAGTTCTGTCTTGTGCTTCTTTCTCCTCGGGCAGCCTCTTTCCCCAGGGCCAGGCCTGGGACTAAAGGGGTCAGGCCTTTCCTAGTGTTTTTATGATGGTGGGACTTCCCCCATAAAGTATTAGAAGTGGTTTTGGGAGGGAAAAAAATCCACTAAACCATAGAATTGTCAACCATAAAATTGTTTTTTTTAAAAGATTTATTTATTTATGTATACAAGAACTAGGGTGAAGGCCAGAGGTGAGGGGGATGAGAGGAGTCACCAGAGACAGAGCGGGGAGCAGTACAGGAGGATCTACTGAAATACACTGCGGAGGGGAGTGCAGTGGGTGAGTCAGGAGAGGTCTGCTGCGCCATGTGGGTCAGCTCCCTGGCTGGGGCTCGAACTCATAGTGCAGTGGCTGGCGATAACTTGACAGCTCTGACTTTAACCCCTGCGCCACCAGGGAGGCCCTCAAGCATAGTTTTCGAGGCTTAATCTCTCAGAACTGTACAGTTCACTCTTAGATGTAACATGAGTGTTCATGCAAAACAGTGAAACCTTATGCTTACAGAAATGCCACCAATATTGAAGCACCTTAATGCAAACTGAGAATACCAAGCAAAGATTACTAAGAAAGGTTTTGGAAGTGTGGGGGAGAAGGTGGTTGCTCATGATTATGAATTTATGTTGTAAAACTGAAACTTCATATTTAAAAAACGACGAGTAAAAGTAACTTAACTTACAAAATCACTTACCTTGTCCATCTTCTTTGAACACCAACTCTCTTTTTTCAGACTCATTCTCATTCTTACCTCTGCGTCTATTTTTACCTCCTTTACCTAATAGATTTAATGAAAGAAAAAGACACTAATTATCTGCGCAATAGTATGAAAATAAGCTATGGATTATAAAACTAAAAAAAGTCACTTAAATGTAAAAATTCACCTAATTTGGTCACTCAATCATTTTCAACTTACAATTTCTAAACATACAGTCACTCCCCTACTACCCTTCTTGAAAACTTTTTTTGGGATTTGACATAAAATACAAATAAATGATCTAAAAGCAGATATTGATATTATATGAAAGTATACCAATCCCTTTCTGAAGACATCTGCATGCAATGACTAAACTGTATGGGTTATAAAGCTATTGGCCACCTGGTTAAGTACATGGCCTACAGAACCTGCTTGCAGTGGTCCACAAAGATCAAGGCAAAGATAAAATGGATCTTAATAGTTTACAAAAATGCCATCTCCTTCTAGTACCTGATTTTCCCACGAAAGGAATGAGTGCAAGAAGATGACTGTGAGGTTGGAAGGAATAAAGTTAAAGCTGGCACTGAACTGACTGACTGATTCTGGGGTGGTAGAGGGCGAGCATGAGAGTTTGAATTTATCCTACAGCTGTAGAAACCATTGAACAAAATATCTAAGTGAAAATGCAAGGTGTTAATTTGTCCCAACTTGGAAGCAACCAAGACGTCCCTCAGGTATAGCCACACAAGGAATGTCATTCGGCAAGCTATCCCAAGACACGCAGGAATCTGAAATGCACATTGCTAAGCGAAAGACAAATCTGTAAAGGCTACATATATGTGCATGTGTGTATGTGTACAGACACATATTAAGTAGAGACAGCAAAAAGATCAACAGTTGCCACATGGAATCGGGGAGCGAAGGATGGGTGAATAAATGGAGAATTGGCAATTTTTATAGGGCAGTGAAACTTACTCTGAATGATGTTGTAATTGTAGTGGTGGATAAATGTCACTGTACAATTCTCAACACTATGCATCACAGTGACTCAATGTAAACTATGGATTTAAGTTATTAACACGTCTATATAGGCCTTATTTTACTAAGATGAAAAATGTCTGCCCAAAAAAGCAATAAAGAACAAGGTGAACAGGGATGCAATCAACAAACTCCAGACTGGAGGCAATTCTACAAGACAACGTTTTCTTTGATACTTTATGAAGAAAAAACCCCACAGTCGGACAGGGAACCCGCAGATTAAGATAGACTTGAAAGTCATTCTTAAGTAATAACAACACACAGACCACATCTGAATTCTGATTTGGGGAACTGACGGTGGCCAGGAATTCAGCACACAGAGGTTCATTTTTTTTTAAAATGATTTTTTATTTATTTTTTGCATAGAAGAACTGTGGTGTAGGCCAGAGGTGCAGGGGCTGAGAGGATTCACCAGAGCGGGGAGCAGAACAGGTGGATTTTTACTGAAATACACTGCTAAGGGGAGCAGTGGGTAACTCAGGAGAGGTTTGCTGTGCCATGTGGGTAGCTCCCTGGCCAGGGATCGAACTCAGGCCTTAGCAGTGACGGCGCTGAGATGTAACCCCTAAGCCACCATGGAGGCCCCACAGAGGTTCATTTTAAGTCAACTCTTGTATATATTCAAAATTCATCCTAACTTTAAAAACAAAAAATAGGAAATCCATCCATATTTACACACACACACACACACACAATCTCTGGAAAGACATAAACAAAAAAGTAAAGGACGACTGCCTCTGAGGTAGAGACTTGGTTGGCAGTGGGACATATTTAGGAAAGGACTTTTACTTTTTATACTTTTTGCAATTTGAATTGTGACTATAGTTACTATTCAAGAATTTTAAATAAAGCCTAGGTATGACATGATCCTCCAGTGAGAAAACTGCTAAGAAGGTCACCATCCTTATTACGCGCAGAATGAAGAAGGCATTGTCGAGCTAGGAAGAGGAAGGGATGAGTAAGAGGAGCTCGTGAGATGGAAGTAAGGGCTGGGGGAGTAAAGCATACATAGAGCTTTTACAATCACCTCTCATGATCTGGTTCAGACTCTTAAAACAAGGGAGTCGGAACACAATCTCCAAAGACAGCTGGAATTCTATTTATTTAGGAGTCTAGAATTATTCTCTTCTCCAGTGTCCTGAAAAATCCGTAATTTTCTGCACCCTATTTACTTTAAATGACACTGCAGGTCATTTCTTTATTCTCCTTTTTCTGACCTTTAAACGGCCACTTGCATATTCTTGTCCTTCCATCTACCTCTTCTTATGCCTATCCCATCAGAGCTTCATTAAGTCCTAATTCACGGCCTCCCTGGTGGCACAAGAGGTTAAGCACCGCACTATGAAGCAATCAGTAGCCTCTGCAGCACAAGAATTTGATCCCTGGCTGGCCAAGGAGCAGCCCACATGGCGCAGCAGACCTTTCCTGTCTTGCCCGCTGCTCCCCTCAGCAGTGTATTTCAGTCAGTCTGCCTGTTCTGTTCCCTGCTCTGTCTCTGGTGGATCCTCTCATCCCCCCACACCTCTGGCCTGTACCCCAGCTCTTGCATGCATAAATAAATAAATCTTTTTTTTTTTATAAAAGAAGTCCTAATTCACACCTTCTGCTCACCCATTTTCTATAGAAATTAATTTTTCTCTCATCTATCACTTCTATGCCAATAATCTTATTTACATCTCAGTCCTACTATTTCAACTCAGCCCTGGTCTCCTGTTTCCAAAGGCCTGGTACATTTCCAGTGAATGGCTTACCGCCACCTCAAGCTCACTTTTATTCAAACTTACTTTCTTCTTCAAACCTGGTCCTTTATCAACAACCTTGTTTCTGTCAATGGTCAGGGAACTACCTTAAAGAATACAAATCCCTCAACCTATAAACATGACACCGATCTACCGCTCAAAATTTCAACCTTGTGCTCCGGTATAAGTAGTCTCAGTAACTCACCCTCAGCAAGCCTGTGCTTCCGAGACAGGTACCATTTCATCTTCATTTCACAAAAGCTAATGGCCTGTCATCTGAGGCTATGTCTTGGACGTAGTGAGATCTGAGATTTGAATGGGGCAGTTGCACCTTAGTGACTATGTTCTTAATCACTGTACAATATGCCACCCATTTACCTGTTACAATCGCCATATGAAGTGACAGCAATCACTCATTTCCACTTTACCAACGAGTTCTCTGAGGCTCAGGGAAGAAACTCACTGAAGATTACCCATGAGTGGGGATGACCAGATTCAAACCTAATCTTTTTTGTTCCTATAATCCAAACATTAGGGTATCTCTCCCACTGCCTTTTGTTCCCACTCCAGAACCATAATTTAGGCAGCAATTCGCAAAAGGCAGATGGAAGGCTAGAAGAGCCTGGAAGCAGCAAAAGTTCACAGGCCAAACAGAATAATGAATGTTCACCTGGCCACTACAAAGGCAGAGACCTAACTTCTTGAATCAAGTTCTTGGGGCAGTCTCACAATGCTCAGTGCTACTATTAGTTGGCCGCTACAATCTCCTGACCCACGCTGATTCCCTAGAGCTCAGTCTCTGAGGCATTTTTAGGGCACAGAAAAACTAATTTCCGAGGAAGAGAGACGTTTCCTTGGCTTCAAGCCATTAATTATGCCAGATCTTCAAATGAGAATGAAAATCACATTAGGGCAAGGATCATACCTGCTTTCTTTACTGAGTAATATACTCAAGTTGGGCAATTCTTTGATTGAGTCAGTTAAGAGTACCCAATACATTACGAAAGGACTGGCAATTTTAAAATTAAAAGTATTAACTTCCTCTAAGTGTACAAGCACCTGAGCCCAAACGCTCTTCATGAGTGGGGTCAAGGACACCCTTTTTCCTGACTTGAGGATGTTTCCAACATTTCCAGAAGAAATAAGAATCAGTCTAAAAGCAAAAGTCATTCAACACACAGTTCATGACAATTTGTAGTCTTACTTGTTTAACCATCACCGAGAACATATTCAAAGGGTTTCTGGCTTTTCCAAAGAGGAATAAGAGAAAAATAAACACAATTTTATTTCTGTTAGTAAACCTCATCTCATAAACTTCAGGGATCTGGACAAGTATCATTCCTCTAAAATAACGCAGACTGGTTTGACGTATACAGGAATGATAAATGCCAAATTCAGAATACTGGTTACCTCCAGAAAGGGACGAAGAGAGGGGAAGGGGGTGGGGGTGCTGGAGGGCCACTCAAAGGGTTTTAAGGGAACCTGTGTTGTAATTCTCAAGTTGAGAATAACGGATTCCTTGGTGTTTGTTACTGTATTTTCTGTACAATTCAAATGCCATTTATAAAAGACTTATTGACAATTTACCAGAATTAACTATACCCTGATCATCCCCCCTCACTGTTGTATTGCCATGGAATGGAATGAACTTTAAAGAGTCTAGTGAACTAGATGTGATTAGTGTATAATAGAAGTTTCATCCTTCTGGAACCAAAGGGGAACCTATTATTCATCCAAGGGAGGAGCCAACAAAAGGGAGGTGACTTAATCCAACAAGTATTTACTGAGCATCTATTAAGTACCAAATGGTAGCAATACAGTGGATTAAAATATAGTATTACTCCCTTTCCAGCTTAGTCTAGTGAGGGAATTCAAAAATCCATACTAGAAATAAAAGTGAGAATACCATACTTATGAAAGTGACAACAGTTACCATCAAGATATAACGAATAAAAGATATAAAGAATAAAGCAACAAAGGATTATATAGGTTACAAGAAATCTATGACATTTAAAACCGGATTTTATCTGTCTTTCCCAAAATAATTAGCAGTTAAATCTTCCCTACAAAAAAGACCTGCAGGTTAGGAAGCTGAGGGCAGTAAGGTGGAGTGTCCTGAGGACACTGCACCAAATTGTACACAGAAATGTGACCCAATATCCCAAAGGATAAAGTAGTGACAAGGACAACAAGGAAACTGAGTAGAATCCCTAGAGCCAGCCGCTGTCAAGTAGAAGAATGAACAGAAGTAGGCCTGGATCAGGGCTGGCCTCTCAAGGATGAACAGTCAAAGGAAACTTCTTAGGGTCATGAAATAAAGTTCTCTCCTGTAGGAAAATGTTTTCGCTGTTTCTACTTACACAATATCCTTTGAAATACCATAAGGATACTTCAAAAACCATAAAAAAAATCTTAAGGCTTTAAAAAAGAGAATTTCTTTAACACAGTCCTGTTTTCACCTAGGTCTTCCATTTTGGAATTTACAATTAAACTTGTCAAGTCTGGTCGTTTGTGAATGTTTAGCCTCAGAATGGAAGGCACTAAAAGACTTTACTCCCATGACAATACATACAGGATCTAAAGCAAAAGCAGAAAACTTGGCCAAGTAAGCAACAAAAATTTAAAATCCCATAAAGAGATGGGGGGGAAAGTAAATCTTTAGAGATGAACCTTAAAGATGCACCAGGCTTCGTCCTTTGTTTACAAGGGAGAGGAAGGAGTCTCGACTACACTGGCCAACAGTCCATAAAGAAATCCAGAAGTACCTGATGGTCACTGAAACGGGCAGCACCCTTTGAAAGTTAAGAAGAGCTCCAGGGCTTAACTCCCCTAGCTCGAAAAGACCAAAGGCGTCCAAACTGCGAAGTCCGGGCTGCTCCGGGAGGTCTCCCCCCAGGTCCCCGTCTCGCCGCAGCCAGTCTGGCGCGAATCCGGAGCAGAAGCCCACATTCTCTCGCAGGAGGCCCTACAAAAATGGCGTCGGCTCCACCCCAATGTGGCCAACTTGGAGACCGGAGTAACTTCCCAGCTCCGCTCCCGAGCCCAGAGCCGCGTTCGGATCGCCCGGCCGCAAGCAGGCAAAGCGTAGAGGAAGGTCACTGCGTTCTGGGCGACCCGGAGGCCGCGGGCAGTGCCAGGGATTCAGCCAAGCGGAGCCATGGTCCGGGGGTCCTGGAAGCATTACCTTTATTCTTGGGCATGGCGGTGGCGGCGGCCTCGCGGCGTCTCTGACTTCTATGGCGGCGGCGGCGGCGGCGGCGACTCCTCCAAAGGGCACGAGAGGCGAAGCGTGGGTCCGCACAGGACCGAGCAGGAGCGGGAGGCCGGGTCGCGTGCGCGGGAGAGTCTCGCTGCCGAGTTCTTCCGAGATCCGCCTGCGCCCACGCTCGGTCACAGCAAATGGCGTCGCGGCTGCTTGCGTCGCTTTTCCCCGCCCCCAGCGCCGCTTGGACCTGCCCCCTCCCCGGCCCTACGGCGCAGGCGTGGCCCGCTGACCCTTATTGTTAGGTTAGCGCGAAAGGGGACGCCCAGCGCTCACGGCAGTTCGCAGAGCCGCGGAGGGGGCGGGGCCGTGGGCAGGAAGGGGCGGAGGCCCAGGGGAAGTGGGATGGGCCCGCGCGTCCCGGCGGAGGGCGGGTTCGGGGGCCGCGTGAATCGTCCGGCTGACGCCACAGCTCGGCTGCTCTGTGACAAGCCCACGTCTCTGGGTCGCCGCCGCTGACTCACTAACTTGAACGTTGCAGCGCACTTGTAACTGGGATCTTTCATCCTGCCGTCCAGGTTGGGGGACTGGGGCTTTTTCATCCCTCATTAGCAAGGTATAGTGTTTGTGCTGTTAGAGCGCAGCCCCGATACAAAACGGGGTGCCTGACGGTGGGTCCTCACCCGCGCGCTGGGATTAGCGCAGGACATCCTTTCCCCCGAACAGGACGACACTTGTTATCCAGAAGTACCTGTCCTCCCCATCTCACTGGAAGGGAACTGCTAAGCAAATGAAATCTCCTGTTTCTGCCTAAAGAGGCACAGGCCTGGTGCAGTAAATGATGCAAAGTAAGTGTAAATTACAAGTTTGCTTCCTTAATAAGCATATCTAAAGGAGGTGACGTCCTAACACAGTCGGACCACTAGCCAGGCTGATTGATCTCCCAGGCCATCCGCTGATAGCTGCATTTTTCCCCCCTTCTGTCAAGAACTTTTGTGCTCACTGACAGATGTTATCAAGATGGTTATGTATAAAAGAGACTCTTTGTCTCTACACTGGTGCTCAGTCCTTACAGGGCTACCCAGGTCTGAGATCTCATGCATGAGTAATAAAGCTTCTCCTGACCTCACCATTCCTGAAGTACCGCTTGTTCTTCCCTTGCCTGGGTAAAAAGGCTAGAATTTATTTCTGCAAATCACCAGAAACATTTCTAAGCAGAGATAAAATCTTTTGTTTACTGTAACCACCACTTAGCAGAATGCCACTTAGATGCTCAGTACAGGGCACAAGAGAGAGGGCAGAAGTATAAACTCAGTGTTATGGGATGAATTGTGTCCTCCCCAAATTATTTTATTCCTAACCCCCCTTTTGTGAGGAGATTAGGGTTCAGACACAGAAGGGAAACTCCACCAGAGCAAGAAGGTGACTATGTTCTTTCAACATATTCATTTACTGCTTAGTGGATGCAGTATAAAGACAAGGATGTAAGGAAGTTCAGGTGATCAACTAAAGGACCATGAGCTTCAGTCTGGAGAACAAAGGAATAAAGAATGAGGCCTGGGACGAAAAACCAAGAGGAAAGAATTCAAATTCCTTAATATGTCTGATTGTCTGCCTCCTGCTTATCTCTTGAGCCTCAAGTCATGCTGCTTTTCTTGTTCTGAGTTTGATTCATAGAGAACTTTTTCTCTTCTGGAGTGTCTCAAATTCTGCAGTTCCATACATTCTATTCTTCCCCTTTTAGGTCTCAACATAATCGTTTCCTTAATAGGTCTGTCCTGATTCCTATACAACTCTGCTATATATTCCTGCGGCATCCTGAATTCCATTACCTAGTTTTGCTAGTGTGTGCAGTTTTACCAGTTTTGGGCACATTTACCCAGATCTACCAAGCTACAGAAGTGACCATGGCAAATAGTGATACTCCATGTTGGCCCAGCTGAACAGCCAGATGTTTTTCTAGATAACCATGGTAGGCCAGCTAATGAACCCCAAAGATGTCATGTCCTAATCCCAAATCTGTGAATATTATCTTACATGGCAGAGGAATTTAAGATTGCAGATGTAATTATGGTTGCTAATCAGCTGAAGTTGAGCTAGGTAGATTAGGTACCTTTGAAGAAGTAATTGAGCCACTAATGGTCCCTAATGCAATATGACTGATGTCCTTATAAGAGACACCAGGAACTGGGATAACCGCGTGAAGAGGCAGCAAGAGGGTGGCCATCAGCAAGCCAAGGAGAAACTCCTCTCAGTAGAACCTAACCCTGTCAGTACTGTGATCTTGGACTTTCAGACTCTAGAACTATGAGAAAACAAATTTCTGTTGCTTAAACCACCCACTCTGGTTTTTCCGCTCTGGTAGCCCTAGCAAACTAATACACCATTGTAATGTAAAACTACTACAAATATCAACTGGGATGGAAGGGGCGAATTGCCAGCCGATAACCCTTTCCTTCTTTATCAGAAAGCAATCACCTTAATCAAATTTCTTTTAAATGTGCTAATAATACTCACTAGCAGAAAGATACCAAACAGTCCTTGTCTATAAGATGCTTTTAGCAAGATACACTTGTTCAATGTTGATGTCTTATTGGAAAACCTGAAATTTGTGAATTTACAAGGTATGGCTGGCTGAAAAATGGGGGCTTATCATTTAAACTGTAATTTATGAAGTTAAAAGGGGGGTGTTGCAAAACCATGACTCCCTGTGTTTGAATAATGTCTGCATAAATTGCTGGAAGAATAATTCTGCCTTTATCATTAGCATTCCTGTGTTAAGGTCCATCAATCCAATTTGATAAATTTTTACTTTAGATAGAATTATTTGACAATATGGACTAATCATAATATAATCAAAATAACTTGATAAAGGGACATACATGCATTTATTTGAAACTTTATTATATAAATTTTCATTTCTTTTAAAGATTACAAAACCTGTTCGGTGACAGGAATACAAGCAGTATTGTTCCAGGATTATTCATGGATACATCTGAAAGAGCTTAGATTACACATTAATAGTATGATTTGAAAACTTCCCAGATTAGACTCGAAGGAAAACAATTTAAAGTATTCAGTGATATTTGATCCTTTACAAGCACTTCATAATTATGGCAGCAGTGCCAAGCATCTGATGCAATTTAACCACCAATAAAAGGTACAATACATATGGACTCATAATATGGTACCTTGGGCTTCTGGCATGCCTTACTACAGAGAAACTAATATAAAGTAAGATCATATATAATAGTAGAAAAATATTTGTGATTTTTTTCTTTTTTAAAAAGTTTAGGTAGATACCCGCCCCATTCCCACCCGTGGCCAAAAATGCAAAATAATTACATCCCTTAGGTGTGTACCTTCCGTTTTGCTTAGGGTAAGAGTTAAGAGAAACCTAATACATGTACATAACTTTAAGAGTTAAAAACTCATCACCCATAATTATTAAGGATGCTAAAGAATGGCAATACCTTGAAGCTTTTTTTTTTTAATTAAAAAAAAAACAACAATGCTTTAGATGGTCAACTACACTTAGAGAAACACAAACCAAAACCTTTATCCTTATGCCCTTGCTTTGTATTTAAAAGTCCTACTTTAAATACTTGTTTGAAAACTCAGTATACAGTTCATTCAGTACTATAGTGATAAGATATTGAACTAATCTACTTAGAGAGGACTGTTATAGCGACTCTCTTCTCACATGTTTACGTATGTTGTACTCAAATAGTACGTGCTCTAAAGAGGTTTTCTTGAGGCTTGCACCCCTGAACTTAGTCTCTAAAATTTCCCTTCCACTAATCTCTATTCAATGTCATATACTTTGCTAGTTGCTCTGGGAGAAGTCATGGACATTTAAACAGCTTATCATGCACTTCAAGGTTATATGACAAAATAATAAGGAAAGTGCCTTAAGAGGTAGGAAGTAAGCTCTCATCCCAACCCTTGGTATGCCCTGTTATATGAACAGTTTAAAGACTGGAATCAAAGTGGTAAATGTGAGACTGGTAAATGTGAGACAAACTTTAAGAAAATTAAGTTGACTTAGTTACTAGAATTCTTTGAAAGCACTCAGTCACATTGGAACCAGTTACAAGTCACTCAACCACACAGAATACAGCAGTGTCAAAAATACATAAAGCACACTGTAGATACAAATTCTTCTTGGCCATCCATATTTAGGTATTATCATTCTGTAGATTCTTCACTAGAAAAAGTGGTTAAACGTGGCTCTGTAGAATACCACAGTCCCAAGAAAGCGAATTTCATTCCTTCATTAACTGATCTCTACAAATGGTCACTTGGGGAGACCAGCAAAATGTAAGCCATCTGGAGGTGAAAAGAGGACTATTTTCATTAATTGAAATAGAAATATTAAGTCAACTTATCTGTGAATTGAATAAGGCTCAAAGTACACATCCAGTTTAAGGTTAGTCACACGGAGTTGGACCTTTCAGAGGGACAGAACTCTAGGGCTAGATCGAAACCTCATGGTTTAAGCACCAAGGGTCAGCCATGCAACCCATCATATTTGCTCATCAGAGAAAACATACCTATTCTGACCCTTTACATTCCTGAGATGCTGGTCCTAATGCCTTCATGAATCTCAAATAGTTGATATCGCCATAAGATAGAATTTCTTCTATAAAATAGTGTAAAGCAAGCTGAAAATTTTGAGGTCATCTATAAAGGCCAGAAAGTAGAGGATATCAAAGCCATGTTGAGATGTGTATTGCTGGCTTCCATAGTGATTACGCACATCTGAACCAGGGCCCCCCAAATGTTGAATGCTTTCCTACCCTTACCCTGGCTGAACCTAATCCAGCCCCTTTCTTACCCAGCCTCTTCTGCCTACTTGTGAAGCCTTTGCACGCCTCTCCCCCTCCAAGTCTTCCTTGGGCTGAGGGTGCAGGACACAAATAATAGATCAGTCCCATCTCTCTTGATGTCCCCTGGCCCCAGCAGCAACCACTTAATAGATGGGAAGTGTTGGCCTAATCCTGCTCTTTGCAATGGATTCCACGTGAAATGTGGAATTTCTACCATAGACACATACCCACTCCACTATCTCAGTGACTTTTCCCACGTCAGGCTCACAGCATCTTGACTCTGCGCCTTGTCAAAATTACATTGTTGGACTTCCTGGGTTGCTTGTAAGTGAATCCTTATCAAATCTGGTAAAGTCAAGGGTCTCTTGTACTAGAAAA